GAAAACTAGTTATGAAGCAGAGAAGAAGAAGAAAAATGGGTCAATAATGTCCATTTTCATGCATGCGGATGGAGTTGACAAGTGGTTGATGACTCTGGGGTTGCTTGGAGCCATAGGCGATGGCTTCACTTCACGTCTGGTGATTGTTTTATGTAGCCGGGTGATAAACAATACGGGCAGAGCAGACAGAGCTGGAGCCTCAGATTTGGATGCTCGTAATTTGCGCCATAACATCAATCTCTCTCTCTCTCTCTCTCTCTCTCTCTCTCTCTCTCTAGACCTTCTAATTTTTCACATTCACACATGCACAAACACTGAAAATATGCAGAAAAAGCTAATCACAATCTTTGGATTTTGTTGTGGATGGCCTCATGCAGAACGGAATGCTAGCGTTTGTGTACTTAGCTTTGGCCTCATGGGTTGCTTGCTTCTTAGGTACGTAATCGATTTAACTACATAAACATGAACATGGTTTTGTTTTGTTTTGTTTTTGCAACAACTGAAATATACAAATCAAATTCAGACCGAATAGTGTTCTCAGTGTAATTTGTTATGTTAGAGGGATATTGTTGGACACGAACAGCAGAAAGACAAGCTGCAAGAATGAGAAGCCGGTATTTGAAAGCAGTGTTAAGGCAAGACGTGGGCTACTTTGATTTAAATGAAACCAGCACCTCGGAGGTCGTCACAAGTATCTCAAATGATATTCAGATCATTCAAGATGTTCTCAGTGAAAAGGTTTCTACATTCAAGTCAAGTTTCCTAATTCCTATCAAGTTATAACATATCAGAAACATTATTTTGTCCTAACTCTTTTTTTCATATAATGAATTTGAATGATCAGGTGCCAGATTTTGTAAGCAAAGTGTCTACGTTTGTTGCGGGTTACACAGTAGCATTTTTCATGGTGTGGGAACTGGCTATGTTGGGGCTCCCATTTTCCTTGCTTCTGGTAGTTCCTGGTTGGATTTGTGGAAGAACTTTAACTGAATTAGCTAAAAAGAGAAGAGAAGAGTGCATTAAAGCTGGGACAATAGCAGAGCAGGCAATATCTTCCATTAGGACTGTTTATGCATTTGTTGGAGAGAACAATACCATTCAAAAATTCTCTGCAGCTCTACACGGAACTATTAAGTTGGGGTTGAGGCAAGGCTTGGTTAAAGGCTTGGCCATTGGTAGCTCTGGCACTATCTTTTCCATTTCGGCTGTCATGTCTTACTCTGGTAGCAGAATGATTATATACCACGGCGTGCTCGGAGGAAATGTTTTTGCAGTTGGCGTCTCAATAGTCAATGGGGGATTGTAAGCAATAACTTCTTCTCAATTCTACTTCATAACATGGAATTTTATGCGATCTTAAAAAGAAATTGTAATTTTAAAAAGAAAAAAAGAAAAAAAAAGGAAATGATGGGTTAACTTCTTCTGTTCTTTGAGAAACAGGGCAATGGGTTCTGCTTTATCAAATCTCAAGTACATAACTGAAGCATGTTCAGCTGGTGAGCGTATTATGGAACTTACAGAACTAGTTCCCCCGATTGATTCAGACAACATGAGAGGCAAAATTCTGGAAATTATTTCAAGTGAAGTTGAATTTAAACAGGTCAAGTTTGCCTACCCATCAAGGCCTGATGGCATCATACTAAACAACTTTTGCCTAAACATACCAGCAGGAAAGACAGTTGCTTTGGTAGGTCCTAGTGGCTCAGGAAAATCCACAGTGATTTCACTGTTGCAAAGGTTTTATGACCCTCTTGAGGGAGAGATTTCTCTAGATGGGATTGCCATTGATAAGCTGCAGCTCAAGTGGCTAAGATCACAAATGGCAGCAGTAAGCCAAGAGCCTTCTCTGTTCTCAACCACCATTAAGGAGAATATACTCTTTGGCAAGGAAGATGGTACAATTGAGGAAGTAATTGAGGCTGCCAAAGCTAGCAATGCTCATAATTTTCATATCTCAGCTGCCTCAAGGGGATGAGACCCAGGTTAATTTTCATTCCCTGTCCCTACTAGCAAGTAGGAGAACAACAATTTATCACAGTAATAATAAATTGGCAAATCACATGTATGTTAGGCCACTTGGTCAGGATAGTGAGCCCGCTCGACTATTGCTAGTATAAATAAATAAATTGGTAAATCCATAAGATATTGCTTAAATAAATAGTAGCAAAACTTCATTAAATCAAATCCAACAGGTTGGTGAGAGGGGCATTCAAGTATCAGGAGGACAGAAGCAGAGGATTGCCATCGCAAGAGCATTAGTCAGAAAACCCAAGATCCTTCTTCTTGATGAGGCCACCAGCGCATTAGACTCTGAGTCAGAGATGCTTGTTCAAGAGGCTCTCCACAAGGCAGCCATGGGCAGAACAACCATAGTCATCGCACACCGCCTGTCCACCATTCGAAACGCCGACGTTATTGCCGTCATGCAAAATGGTAGCGTCGCGGAAACTGGTTCACACGACGAGCTAGTACAAAACCAAAATGGGCTTTACGCCTCATTTGTCCGTCTCCAACAAATTCCAAAAGAAACTTCAGAAGATCAATGTCACTGCAACAACAGTACTAATAGTCCTGCTCTTCCATCATCTGCGAGCCAATTGAATTCGACCCCCCAGGACGCTGGATTGGATACTGCTGCTACTGCTACAGAAAATCCAAACAACATGATCAAACCCAGAGCTTCATTTTGGAGATTGATGTCTATGAATCTTCCAGAGTGGAAGCAAGCGATTTTAGGGTGTTTGAGTGCTGTTCTTTGATTCGTCATGGGGACCACGATATCGGTGTTTTTCTTGACAAATCATGATGAGATGGAAGAGAAAATAAGGACTTTTGCGTTGTGTTTTTTTGGGTTCTCCGTTTTCTCAATGCTGGTTAATATCATCCAGCATTACAACTTCTCATACATGGGAGAGCTCTTGACCAATCGGATTAGGGAGAGGCTGCTTTCAAAGATACTCACTTTTGAAGTTGGATGGTTCGAGCACCAACAAAACTCCAGCGGTGCCATTTGCTCTAGGCTCACCAAAGAAGCTGAAATGGTAGGTCTAATTATTTCAACATTATTGGTAAAAACATTTGCTCATTGATTGGTACCCGATACCAATTTACAATACTTCATACATTGTTGATGGAGGAAATATTGCGGTGATCGGTACCAAACAATCTTTTTTTTTCATATTAGAATTTAACACGAGCAAAGTTTAGCTGCTTAAAACTAGTCAACGGAGTCTAATTATGTGGAAAAAAAATTGTGACTTACAAATTAATGGTTTCATGTTCAAATCCATATGACAACTTGCTAGTCTGTGTGGGCTATCGCTTGTAAACCAAATGGGATTTTGACAATGCTCTTATATTATTGGCAGGTGAGATCTCTAGTGGGTGATAGAATGAGTCTTCTTATACAAACCATCTCAGGCATCGCCATAGCATGGACGATGGGGCTAATAATAGCATGGAGACTTGCCGTGGTCATTATTGCCGCCCAACCCATAGTCATTGCCAGCCTGTATGTAAAGCGAGTCCTACTCAAAACAATGTCCACAAAAGCCATCAAAGTCCAAGAGGAAAGTTGCAAGCTTGCTGCCGAGGCAGTCTCCAACATCCGCACCATCACTGCCTTCTCAGCCCAGAACACAATTCTGAAGATGCTAGAAAAGGCCCAAGAAGGCCCACGTAGAGAGAGCATAAGACAGTCGTGGGTCGCAGGTATTGGGCTCGGGTTTGCCCAGAGCATCACAATTCTCAATTGGGGTGTCAGCTTTTTGTGGGGAGGCATGCTTGTCAACAAGGGCCACGTCACAGCAAGAGCAGTCTTTGAAACCATCATAATTTTGGTCAGCACCGGCCGAACCATAGCCGATGCTGGAGGTATGACATCAGACCTTGCCATGGGTTTGTATGCAATCGGGTCCATTTATAGTATCTTGGACCGGACCACAAAAATCGAGCCCCAAGTTCCTCAAGACAGGCAAGTAGAAAACATAACGGGTCGAATTCAATTTCGTGACGTGGATTTTGCATACCCAACTAGGCCCAATGCGATGATCTTCCAACGCTTCTCGATTGAGATGGAAGCAGGAAAATCTACGGCGTTGGTGGGACAAAGTGGGTCAGGCAAATCGACCATCATCGGATTAATTGAGAGATTCTACGATCCAATCAAAGGCGTGGTGGAAATGGACGGCCGAGATTTAAAGACGTACAACCTTAGATCGTTGCGGAAACACATGGCGTTAGTCAGCCAAGAGCCAACGCTATTTGGTGGGACCATAAGAGAGAACATTGTATATGGAGTGTCCGATGAGACGGACGAGACGGAGATCGTGGAGGCCGCAAAGGCAGCCAACGCACACGATTTTATCAGCGGATTAAAGGACGGATACGACACGTCGTGTGGGGATAAAGGGGTGCAGCTATCTGGAGGTCAAAAGCAACGGATAGCAATAGCCAGGGCAATACTAAGAAACCCAGCAGTGTTGCTATTGGACGAGGCCACCAGCGCGCTCGATAGCCAATCGGAGAAGGTGATGCAAGAAGCGCTGGAGCGGTTGAGGTTGGGGAGGACTAGCGTGGTGGTAGCTCACAGGTTAAGTACCGTACATAACTGTGATCTTATTGTTGTGATTGAAAAAGGAAAAGTGGTGGAGAAAGGGACCCACTCTTCCCTGTTGGCTAAGGGGCCCGCAGGTGCTTATTACTCCTTGGTCAACCTTCCTGGTCCAAAGACACAGCCTTAGTTGACTAACAAAAGTTGTGCGTACTGGGCTTCAAGGCATAGAAAAGATGAAACTGTGAACAAGTGTAATCTCTATTAATTTTTTTTTAATAGAAGCGATAGTCTAAATTAGAAGACGAGAGATTACACATAATTATGATGCTGTGGGAATTCAAACTTGAGATCTCTTTTAAGTCAAAACTCTTTTACATTCGACTAGACACGTTGGCTGTAATCTTTATTAATTAATAAAATGAATATATAAAGGCACAGTTTTTAACTATAAAAAAAATTGAAAATAAGATGTGTTTAAGGTCTGTGCCTTCTTTAGAACAGAGTTTCTCCAAATCTTTTGTTTCTTTCGATCTTCCTTTGTTAATTTTTCAGGGTCTCTTTCTTCAGGTAAAAAGAAAGAGACACTGATTTTATCAGTGGTGGACGCATACAATTCTCGACCCGAATGTATAATTCGATGTGGATTGAACTCGAACAGATTCTGTAATTTTTCATTTTCCTTCACTTGTAGTTCGAACCCTTCAGCTAAAAAACCCTTCAAAAACTGTAACTGGATCTTCTGATACCATGATGATAGCTTTAGATCTTTTCCATTGACTGTTAATGATGTTCCCGGGCATTGAAAATTCTCAAAATATTTCACAACTTGGCGGACGTCGTTTGCAACGATACTCTCCCTCACTAATTGTTGCATATGAGAATAGCTACGTTCCTTTCCTTCTCCCCAGAACTTTTCCAAACTACCGGTTTCGAAAATCAAAGCTAGTGCTTCACTAGCAGCCACACGGACTGATTTATCATCATGCTTTAACAACAGGGTTGAGAAGTAATCAATGGCTCCATTCCAGTTGTTGTGTCTGAGTCTCCATCCTTCCACGCTCGTAAGTAGAAACAACCAAGCATTGATTGCAGCAACTAGGACCGCCGCCGAATGCTTTTCTTCATTTGCATCAGATTGATCAGCATGAATGAACTTCCATATAATTTGCATTGCATTTTGAATATCCTCTGAGTTGGTTGCACCAAAAAAAGCCACAATGCCCAAACAATCTAATACCTTCACTGCCGTGGTTCCAGATTTCGGAGCTTTAGAAAGAACAGGAAGCAACTCCCTGTACACTTCAGACACTTTATCCTCATGCCCAATGATCATGGCAAGCAACCCTACGAGATGAAGTGATAGCTGCTTCTCCTTGGAGGAACCCTTTTTGAAGGAATTCAAGCCCCTGTATAGAAAACTTGCGAAATTCTTTTCTAGAAAGTCATGCTCTAATCTGCTATTTAACACCCCAATTATTGAAGCGAGTGCCTCCTCTCGGTCAGATCCTCTTCTCTCGTACAACCCTTCTAAGTAACTGTAAATTGTCTTCGGTGCCGATGGCCGAAGCAGTTGTTCAGAGCTGTCAGCGCCACCAGCAGCAACATGTCTTCTTCTACCAGCTCTTCTTTCGCTGCGCTTTCGGGAGCTTGAAGGCGGAGGAGGTTTGTCTCTTCTCGTCATGTTGGAATGTTAATGTTGTGGGTTGTGAATGTTAACGTGGTGAAATATAAATCGGGTTTATTGCTTTGGGATTCCTAGTCAGAGTGGGACTACTAACAACACACAATCTGAGTTTAACAAGTAATTGAAGCCCGGCAAAACTAGGACCATATGATGGGCCAGTCTTGGGTAAAATAAGACTTATTGCATTAAAAGATCCCGCCCAACAATAAGCAGCGCTGCCTATTAACGCAGCATTAGCCCATTGGAAAATCATTTTGAAAAAAGTTTTTTTTTCCCTTTTTTTATTTCAAGCATTGGGAAGGGAAGAATCAAACCTAAGACCTCGAGTAAGTGGGTAAATATTCTTAATCACTTGAGTTACAAGACCCTTACGGTATTTTTTTTTTCTTAATTATTTTTTGTATAAGTACGTTGGTTTTATGATGTAAATAAATGATTGTTCTTTGGTATGTTAGTTTGATATTGTCATATTGATGTGTTGTTTTCTTTTTTTGTCTACAACTAGCCCCTCACATGTGTGTCAATTGATTTTTTTTTGGGAGTTTCACTAAAACATCCAAAATAGGAGCTTAAATTATAAAAAAACCCAAGCACTATTTAAACATATAAACACACCCAAAATCCATCATTACACACACTCAAAATCCATTTATAAACACACCCAAAAAGTTGACTTTGGGGTTAATTTTGGGTGTGTTTCTATGTTTAAATAGTACTTGGGTTTTTCTATAAATACATGTCTAGAATTGGGTTTATTTATAAATTTGTATTTTTTTTTTTTAATTTTTAGAATTAAGAATATATAAAATGGGTAATTAGTTATATTCTATAAAAATAGGACCATTGTTTGATTTTGTTTTTAATTTTAATTTTTTTAATATGAAAAATATAAATTGACCATATTATCCTCATGTAACTAATAATTTTAATTTTTAATATTTGCATTAACCAAAGGCAATTTTTGGTATTTTGAATGTTTCATCATTCTCTGCCTTTTGCTTCTTATATATATATATATGGTTTAACTCAAATCAGCCTAACTGTTATATTATAATACATTAATTCTTGTCGCAAGAGAATTTATTTTCTAAGTAAAAACTAATGACGATATTTTTTTACGAAATAGCTTCTTTTGATAAACTTGGTTCTCCTGGTTGAAGCTAGAATTACTTTTAATTTGAGGAATTCCAAGTCTTTTTCAAAAACTCCTACAGTCCATTATCATTTGGAGGAACAAGTAGTGCAGTCTCCAGGGACAAAGGCTGGTGGTGAAGTGTGAGAGGCAAAGGTCTTCAATTATTTGATAAGCGATGGACTATTTGTTCATCCGTTTTTTATTTAGTCATGTGATGGTAGGGTAAAGTTCCCTATTGACTCGACAATCATTGGTGGTCAATAAATCAATTTTCTTTTGTGCGTGAGCGTGTCACTGCTATCAGTTTAAAACTCGAGCAGACTTCTAAAAATTAGATAACTTGCACCCCAAGTTATTGATTCTAAACAAGCAATTGTGAATTAGGGTGAGGAATATCTCCCAAGTAAGTTTTTTTCTTGCCTCAAACTGGTGAGGACTTCACAATTTTTTCACAGTACAAAACTGGTAGCTCTGGCCAGAAAAGATGAAAAAAAAGACAAATAGTTTAAGCAGAACTGACTATTACAAGACTCAAAAGAGAAATGGCAACTCCGAAAAAGACAACATAACGTTGGACTTCGATTTATGTCTAGATAGTTACTTCTAAACTAGGCTAAACTGGATATGTCTATGCTGGATTGAATCGTCAACACCTTTAATTGATGAGTTTCAGCTGGAAATCGATACCAGTGTTTGAGTTTGACAAAGCTTCGATCTATTTCAAACGCTTCGATCTATTTCAAACCCTGGAAGGCTTCTTGAATTGGCAGAATTGGGGACTCTTTGGTCTGAATAGGGCAAAAAAAGGCTGGATTGATGATCACTGGGCTGCAGCTGTACTGTAGTACCTGTTCTGCTTGATCAAGGCTTTCTATAAATTTGTTGAGGTTTTCATTTTACAAAAACTCGGATTCTGCTTGACTTGGCTTGTGCTGAACCAAATTTGTAACGATAGAAGTCTCGCTTTGTAAAACTATTTCTCTGAACTGAACTGAAATAAGAGATTTGAATTCTAGCTGATTTGTTTCTTGTGGATCAAAGAGCTTTGGTTGCTTCAGTGTCTGAAAGCTTTTGAGATCAGTTGATCTTTTTGAGTTTGTTATTTGTGACTTTGAGAGTTTTGTCTTGATTGATTTTTTGGCTATCCTTTTGATATGTTCACCTCCTCTCATATTTATAGAAAAATGCTAGGGGGTTTTAATTTTTTAATAATGGGCGGCAGACTTTTTAAAAAGATCTTCCCTTTCAAATGCCACAAAAAGGGAAGTTATTATTTTGGCCGAGAAACCATCAACAGTCAGTTTTCATGGTGGTCTTTTCCTTGCTTTTTCCTGAAAGAAAACCAACTCTTCTTGTTCTCTATTTGTTCCTTGTAAAAACACAATCTACTATGATGGTCAGTTTGCATTTCCTAGTGAACAACTCCTTTGCTCCCTACTCATCTCTTAAAACTATAACCTGCTTATCTCTTGGAAATATAACCAGCTTTGTTGCAGAGCTTCTGTGCATATGGAAAAGGGATTTGATCTTCTTTTTCCCTGGCTAAAAAATGGAGAAGTTTTTTTTTGTAAGACCTAACTTCATTAACTCCCTATCACTTCCTCTATCTTAGTTGAGAATTTTGAGTTTTCAAAGTCAGGAAGTCACGTGGGGCCCTTTTGAGAAAATATTTTTTAGTAAGAAAGATCTGCAAACTTGCTTTTGGGGTTGAGATCAAGTGATGAGAATTTTTCAGAAGCTGTAATTCAATTTCTAGAGGTTTTCGACCTGCTTGGTATTAAGTTACCATTAAATGACAATCTTATTTGTTATTTTTGTGTTTTTAAACCTCTGCCACTTTTGGCAAAAACATGGACTTCTAAAGTTGCTTGGGCTATTTTCCGGAGACAAAGCCCATGCTTCTGTTTTTTTCCTGTTATGGGCCGATTTTCAATTTGGCTGGCGTGTGAAATTTTTTGGCCCAAACACGATCATTCTTAGAATCTTAGTTTGGCGTGAATATTTGACTATAAATGAGAGATAATTATTACCATTAGGGAAATGGCTTAAGTCACTTTGGACATCACTAGACACACCCTATGATATGTTCCCCTGTAAACAATAAATAATAAACAATAAACAATAAACAATAAACATCTGTGTGTGCTTCTGTTTTGATCCAAGTGATATTAAGGAAAAAGATAATCGAATTTGGGATCTCTGATGCAAGAATAAAACTCCTTGCTTGTGCCTTTTTCTTTAGATGTGCTTGCTTCGTTTGAAAACCAATTAATTTACCACTCTATCTCTATCTCTATCCTATATGTGTGTGTCTATGTGACTAGACCACCACCTATTTATGATTATATATGATTTGTAAGTAAATGAAATTATAAGCAATATGTCCGGACCATGACAATTCAACAAGAAGCCCTACTTGATGGTACTCTGTGTATGTGGTGGGTAAGGTGGAGAGAAAAGTGACAGCTTCATGTGCAATGTTGGTCGGTGGAGATGAGAGGTGGTAAGAATGGGATTGATTGTGTGATAAGTTACAAAAAGCAGGAGAGGAGGAGAATCAGAGATATTGTACCTGAAAGCAGCTGCATGAGCATATTGGCAGATGGGCAGCAGTGACACACAACTATCAATATACTATTTTAATCCACACATTCACTTTTGATGGCTTATGCTTACAGAAAGAAAGGCAAGGAAGGGTTCACTTTTTTAATAAGAATATTAAGTAGAAAGGGATTATTGATAAGAGTACCAAATTAATATGTTCATCGGCCTTAAAGCATGGAATAAATAATATTTAGTCCAACTCAACTTACAACTCAACAGGGTTTTACCAATTGGTTTCACTACTTAATTGGATTATTAATTGGTACAGTTGAATGATCACAGAACATCAACACACTATGATTATCAAATGCCTCTCTCTCTCTCTTTCTCTCTCAACAACAACAACAACAAAAAGAAACAAGAACAATTTGAGTGAGGCAATCATGGAAGTAGATCATGAGTGGGTTTCCTAGTTGTCAAAACTCAAATTAGTTGGTTATAGCAGGAACCCAATAGGCAAATAGGGATAATGCAACTCCAGCCAACAATTTCAGTATTCAGGTTCCTTGGCAATCAATCCTCTAACAATAATTGGCAATTTGGCTTTGGAAAAGCAATGGAGTATTCAGGTTAATATTTTTCACTCTCTGGAGTTTCCATGGCACTTATGATGACAAAGCCACTACTTGTTTTCTATTTCATTTTTTTAGCCATCCCTTCGTTTCCATACTCAGTACTTTTCCTTTTACCTCATTCTCTCAAGAGACTTAACCTTTAGGAGATCTAAAGCAGATTCCATTCACTCCCAATGTCCTTTTTGTGGGCTCAAATAAATGAGAGTTTTGAAGAAATATATACAAGGCTATTTCAAATAAAAGAGCTCCCACATATATATATATTTGGCAAGTATGTATTGGTGATTGCTAGTGGTGGGGATGATAAAGAGATTGTTGGATGAGCAGTTGAGAAGCTTTTTCCTTAATTATGATGAGGAATAATAATGTGCTTGTTTCTACATCTGCTAAAAAGAGATTCTGCAGATGGGATGGGATGATAAGGGAACTGTTCTTCCAAATTGCGAAGGTGAACTAAAGCAACGGTGGAGCATTAGTCATGGCCTCTTTGGCCCTCTGATGCAATAATAGTATTTCCCCCTCCCCTGTAACCACTTTATGAACTGAATCATATTCATATTGAGGCCCCTCCTCCACTCTTCTCTATTGTTAAGCTTTGCTTGGGATGCTGAACAGGCCCACAAGCAACTAGTTTCTTCATCCCTTTTTTTTTTTCTTTTTTCTTTTGGTACAAGCGATAATCTACTTTA